TTTCTACTGATAAAAACATGTAGATCAGCTTCTTGTCCGAAGTTGCATAGCAACAAAACAACGACAAAACAAACTTGGTCCAGTTGTTTTTGCGGCCGTTTTAAATTGCTTTTGATGAATTTGAACGGTAGAAGTATTTAACAGAGAAAATCGAGGCAATAGACCATTTTAGAGTCATAGACTTCTGGCCATTTGCACTAAGAAGTCATGTGACATCGATCATTTTTATGAAAATGAAAGTTATATGATTTTACCTTCGAAAAACGATTAGTGGGTTACATTTTAAAAAAAATAAAGTGTTTGGTTTTCCAAACCCGCGCCATTTTCTTAAAATGAGTAAGTTCGTAGCTGGCGACGTGACCAAAATTTGATTAAAAAAAAAATGAATTACCTCTTTCTGAACACAAAGTTGGCACCTACATTTCAAGAAAAATGATTAAAAGATGATGTGGTAACATTTACAGTACATCTGAGCTGAGCGTAACTATCAGGCGTTTAGCAAGATGCGACCAAAAAGTAGTTTTGGCCACCATGTTGGAGGGCAAGAGTATGCCCTCCAACATGGCGGCCAATACAAATCATACTACCTTGTTGAAAAATCAAACTGCCATAAAATATCTCCCTGTTACGAAAAATTGTATCTCGTGACTTTTAAACGTGACATTCTAGAAGGTTCGCGAGAGTTCATAGTTTGTTTATTTTAGGATCTTGTGTCAGCGTTTCTAAAGCAGTATATTTTGTAATCTTTCTATAATTAGACTATTTGGAAAGTTCTAGAATCTTATCGTAAAATTATATAAGCAGGCGAATCCAAGGGGGAGTTTTAACTAGTTTTCACAAGCGAAGAGAGTTTGACGATAGTCGTGTTTAATCAAGTTAATTGAAGTTGGCGGAGGCCGTGTATGTTTATCGAGTTAAGCGCTGTTGTGGAGTTTTACTTCGTGGAAACTACGTTCATTTTTGGGAATAAATCTTCTTGTTGCTGTTCCGACAACCCTGTGTTCGGTTTGGTTTGCAAGCTACCCGTCCCTATTTAGACCATAAGCTCAGGGCTCGAGTACGTAGAGAATCGGGTGGGGGGGTGGGGGGATTTGTACTAGGGTGTCTCGGTCTGTTCAGATCGATCTGGCTGTTAAAAGCGAAGAGCGAGAGGAGCGAATTGACATTATCGCTGAAAAACTGAATGCAGTGTGTTTTCCATTTTTCAATAAACAGTCTGAAAATTTTTCCTGCCGCTCTTTTCTAGCTTTTCAAGACCAGCATGCCGATACCTTGTTCATCAGTTTCGATCAATTCAATCTGGTCACTGGACTGGAGGGCTGATTGTGTAGGTTGTCATTTAAGTTGTGCAGTGCTTAATCTGACCTAGCCTTTAGAATGTCTACCTTATATGTCACCATGAAAAGCCTTTCTATTCACAAAACCCACCAAGATAATGGCTGCATGGATACAGTATGTATAATTTGATCATTAGTTACGTCCTTATTAGACCAAATCTAATACAAGAACAAAGAACAATGAAAGAATACTGGCCCGCATGTTTTCGAAGGTCGACAAACCCCATAAGTCGTGGGATCAGAACAGACCAATTATTTTTTTTTAATTCCAGCGGAGAAAAAGCTACTTATATTTTACGCCGGTAGTTCATATCGAAAAAACAGTGGCGTTTGCAGCTAGGCTAAAGGAAGACGACGGCGAGTTTTTTTGCGCTTTTGGTGATTCCTGCTGAAAATTAATTCAAGCGCCGAGTTTAGCGGCAATTTTATGGCGTTTATGCAGTTGTTTCATAGGATGCATGTAAGCTAATGCATGCAATGAAAAACTTTAATCACCTCAGGGGCACGTTTTTTTTTACGAAAAGCTAATTGAAATGCGAGGGGATTATGTATTTTAATATGCAAGGGGGATAAAAGTAAGCAATTAGAGCTTATGTTCTCGTTGCATTACATTTAATCGAAAAAGCCCGCCCTCAAATCACCTTGGCATCTTCAAGTAGGAAAATCAATAAGCACCGCGGCGTTCTTTCGAAATTTCCGACTTTTTTACAATTTGGTTTGTGCGAACTTTACTGACTGAAGTTCAATACGCAGCCTTGCAGACTCAATTAATGGGAGTACCATGTACGTACTCTACGATAAATAAAATTTAAAGTTGTTTATGGAGATACTTTATCATCACTTTCATCACGCTTACTTAAATGCCATACTGCTAAAAAGAATGAAAGTTCAAACCTTGTTTTGTTTTGAACTTTCATCTCTTCTAAAGACTGGTTTTAAACTTATATTAATATGCTTCAAGCTTACATCAGCAATGGTAATCAACACATTAAAAGGTCTGATTAGCAAAAATTAATAAGCGCTGCTATATTACTGGGAATTTAATGCAGGAGAAATTATGTTTATGAAGCTGGGTACATATAACATCCCTAACGCTGTCATCTCATGGATTACCGACTTTCTCACCTCGCGCAAACAGCGTGTTAAACTCGGCCACGACTGCTTTTCAGAATAGGGCGCGGTCCCAGCGGGGGTTCCTCAAGGTACAAAACTAGGGCCGTGGCTGTTTATCATCATGATCAACGAGCTGGATGTTCCTGGCACTAATCTCTGGAAGTACGTCGATGATACCACTATTTCGGAGACGATAAGCAAGAACCAAGACAGTCACATTCAAGCTGCTGTTGACACCCTAGCAAGCCGTGCGACCGAGGATAAGTTTCAACTAAACGAGACGAAATGTAAAGAACTGCTTATAAACTTTAACACTAACAACCCTACTTCTTTCGATCCAGTTGTTGTTAATGGCATGCCTATTGATTTAGTTACTAGTGCCAAAATACTAGGCCTTAACATCTCCAACGATTTGAAATGGAATTGTCACATTGACTCCATTATTAAGAAAGCTAAAAAGCTCTTGTATAGCTTATCTCAGCTTAAACGCTCTGGTCTTGGTACCTGTGAGTTAGTCCAGTTTTTCTGCACTTGTATTCGTCCGATCACAGAGTACGCGTGTCCTGTCTTTCATGACGGCCTCCCCGTGTACCTTTCCAACGAACTTGAAGGAGTACAAAAGCGGGCTATGCGCATCAGTTTTCCTCTTTGCTCATATAATGAGGCCTTGGTTGAATCAGGCCTAACTAAACTTTCAGACCGCCGCCAAGAACTAGTTGATAAACTATTTAAGACTGTTTTACAAAACGAATAGAACAAGCTCCATGAACTTCTTCCTGCTCGCAACACATGTACCTTTAACCTAAGAAATATGCGGAAGTTTAAGCCAGCTTTTAAGACGAACAGGTTTCGTAGTAGTTTTATTACATTTAACGCCCTTAAGGCTTGAACGGTTTTAGTAGATTTTTTAAACCTCTTCTATATATTTTTTAGAACATATATATAGTGTCCTTAATTGCTGTTTTAAATCACTTGTAGTCTTTTTAATGTAATTATCAATATTCAATTTTTTGTAAATAATCGTATAATTCAACTTTTAGTTGCAAATCGGTTATTAATAAACTATCTATCTATCTATCTATCTATCTATCTATCTGTTTATTCGAAAGAGTGCCGAGGCGTTTATTTATTTTTCTTCTTCTCCTGTGCGACTCTTACTTGAGGTCGGCCCGCTTTCGATTAAATGCAGTAAAACATTGAATTTTTCGAAAGAGCGCCGCAGCACTTATATGCTTTTTTATTTTAAAGATGCCAAGGAGAATTCGGGTGGTGCTGTTTCGATTAAGTGCGTTTTTTCCAGCTGTGTTGTGCCAGAAAGTGTCGGGTTTGTGTCATGGAGTGTGTGTGCGTGTGTAATTTTTGGCGCTGGTAGGGGAGGAAGGGGGTTGTGGGGATACATCAAAGGGCTATTGATAAAAATTTCAGGACTGTTCCCTGAAGAGAGACATATCGTGGAAAAAATATAAATGAATAATTGAGACCGAGGAAAACAGAACAAAAGGTTTTTGTTTTGAGCAATGCGTTTATTCCGTGGGATGCCTGTGGCACTCCCACGGTAAAAATCCGGTTCGGTTGTACCAAAAATTGCAAAGCCAGCCAATAGGATTGCGTAAAATCTTTATCGATTATCTCTTCTTCCAAGCCGACCAATCAGATTGTACAAAATCTGTATCGATTTTTAATCGATTTGCTTACTCTGAAGTAACGTTTCTTGCCAAATTTGTCGCGCTTGAGTTTTCCCACTCGTGGTTTAGGATTGCTTGTTAACCAGCGAAATCCTTCCGGGATACTGGCAAGTCAGGAAAGGCGACCTAAGCCAAATTATTTCTTTCCTTCATGATTCTTTTTTGTTTAGGTCTAGCTTTTTCACAAGGTTTTAGTAGCGTCTTGTTGCGGGCCGTGATTTCCGATATATTTTTCTATTCGGAGTTCGCCAGTTTTTTGCCGAGCACAGCCAGAGTTCAGTTTTTTTCTTTTCTTATCGAAAACACCTTGACGATGGGAGGTTAAATCGCGTAAATTTTAACTCGTACCCTTGACGATTGGCGTTGAAACGCGAAAATTTTGTCCTCGTCGATCGACGACTCGCTTTTGGCATGGATTGGACTTCTGGATGGGACATGGATCAGGACATGAGTAAACTTGGAATCAGGGATAATCATGGGAACTGTATTAACTTTGAGACCTTGGAAACACATTGCAATTAATTTTTAACCGTATCAAGAGCATATTGGAATATTAAACTTTCATCTTGGATGAAAACATTGGAACTTTATCGAACTTTGTAACCCCGTGTTCGACCCTGGATAGAGCAAGCGGATGTTTTGTATTGTTTTGTTCCATTAACCTAGATAGAACGCCATTATGCTTCCATAGACCGACGCATCCCACGGAAACGACTTTAGGCGTCTTGTTCAATTTAATTTCCACAAATATTTGTTCACGCAAGAATTAAGCCTTCACTTCACCTACAGTTTCTATTTAGCATGTAAGAAACACTAATCATTGACTATGAAGTGGAACAATATTTTTGACGTTGCATTTGTATACTCATTGCACCAGGATGTAGCCCATCGCTTTAATGTTTTTGTTACCATTGTCTGGTTGATACCACTGGGCCACGTTTCCACAGGTGTTGTCACCATGAGGATTACCACCAGTACCAAACCCAATTCTTGAGTCAGTGGAATAACAGTCTCTGTTGTTGTTACTTATGATACCTATTCTTGCTCTGCTGTGGTATTGCACCGTGCGAGAATTGAACCCTTCCTGGTTACAATTTCTCTGCAGCGATGCCTGTTGGCCAATCAGCTTCTTCCAGGAGTGACGACCCAGTGACGTCGAACGGTAGTTTCCGTCAGCGATCAGGGAGTGTAAGGAGTTGGCTTGTTTGTTGATGACGATCGAATTAACATGATAGCCGATCTTCATAGCGAGGCAGATCTTAGTGAATGGTGTGCTCCAGTAGGTGGGTAATTTTGTTTGTTGATCATCAAGCAGGGTCTTTCCCGCAGAGGGATTATGGTCCTTCCTGTTGGTCCACAATTCTGAATTGTAGTGAAAGGTATTCTAAACAGATAAAGAATGATATATCGTCAATTAACAAACTGTTTTCACGTGACATCACAGCAGTCACATTCCGCTCCAAAAGTTTGTAAGACTACCCAATTTGGCCTTCTGGGCCCTGGGGTTCAACTACATCCAACCTCCTCCCCCTCCCCAAGTAGTTTTGAGAATATCTAGGCTAAGACAATCAAACGCCTGGTAAGAATTAAAATAATGTAATAAATACCCCAGCCAGGTAAATGACGTGACATGGCGAGATTCCTCTAAACATTTCGCTGTGATGATGGTCAATGGCCGCCAACTCGGTGCACTAGTGAGCTAGTGTGAAGAGGCTACATTATATGACTGGCTGTTTTACGACCCGTCAAGATGAAGCGAATCCTGTGGTCTGTGCGAGAAACAATTTCCCTTTTGGCCATGTAATAAATCCTTGATTTACCAAATCTTCGGTCAAGAGGAATGGATACGGGGCTGGTTCTTTTTCGCGATTTTATGGACCTCAACTCGGTCTCGGTTCATAAAAACGCAAATAAAAAGGAACTCACCCAAAATCGAGCCAAATTAGCCTCATAATTTGTCAGTAAAGCCCTATTCTTGTAAGAAACCTACAAGGTAACATTTTTGCGAGGGGCACACAAAATTCTCCTCACGGTCTATCTCGGATCACCCACTTTTGCGCAACATTATTATGGTAGGAAATATGCCAAAAAGGTTAAAAATTAAATAAAATTAATTTCTGTACAAAAATTCTGCTCCTTCATTGTAAAACTAACAATTCATCTGAAACTATCAACCTGTCAGAAAATAAATGTTTGTTCGGGCGCTATTAAAAAAACTTGCCCCAAGGATTGCACTGGACTGAAATCACGCCCTTTGCCCCATTCATACCAAAGCTTAAAATTTACCTAACAGCTAATTTTAAACATAAGCCGGAATGGTTTACATAACAGACTCCCATACCGTGCGGTCCAGTATGGATTGGTAATTTCCAAATTTGATATTTCAATACCTGTACCCCCGGCCAAAAGCTGACGGTATGTTCGCTTCCTTTCAGCTAATTGTTTAAAAGCTGTTTAGTTACTTTCCTAAAACCAGCTCCGCTGTTCACTTATGTCCAGGATTGCAATCTGTCCCAAACCTGATTTGCAAGCAATTCTCGGTCGCAATTTTAGCAAAAAATAGTTTAAAGGAAACTGCTCGAGGTTGATCGATGGGTCATTTAGATTAGTCAACGAGGCGCGTAGCGCCGAGATGGCTGTAATCATCTCATATCCAACAAGGGCGAGTAGAATAATTGTTTTATCAAAAAAGCCCACAAAACAGTATCGAGAATTCTTCCCAACTTTATTAGTAAAAACAACCGATTTTTAATTGTTTTTAATTTTGAGCAGACGCGTACAGTTACCATATTTGTAGAGCATGGTATAATGGCTCATATACCATGATGGCTAAGCCAATCAGAGCACTAGAATTGCATTATCCAATGAGTCAGTTTTTAATAATAGGCAATATACCATAGAATCGATCATGTATATTCAGTCCTACATCTTCCAAAAATGGTAAACGGCTGATGGTTATGAAGAATTAGTCGAGGGATTGGAGCCAATCATGAACGCGGGCAATATATTATCAATGAATACTACTAGTAATAGTTGACACTACAGCTGCCCCTGTTCTGTATATTGTCGGTCAATAGCATTCTTGCTCGTTGTGTAGCTCTTTGAAATATACCGATTCATAATGAAAATTTTCACACATATTCAATACAATAGGTGAGACAAATACAGGAAACGCAAGGTTCCATGCACAGTTTCAGTTCGATTTACACAGCTTTGATCAAAACATTCTCAGTTTCGAGAATAGTTCATTCTAAACCATAGGAAAAGATTTAATTAGAAATTGAATTTTCCGCTATTTCTCTTTCACTTTTTACATTCAGTTCATTTTATTTGCCGGAAAGTAAGCCTTAGAAATTAAAAGGACGTTTGAACAATTCACGCTCGTGCATTCTAGTCTTATTTTAAACTTTATAACGGAAGGACATCTGTGAGCAGGGAATAAGTCAGCATAGAATTTGATTGTCGGCGAATTTCTGTAATCGTCCATCGTTCTGCTAGTGATAAGCTAGCCGTTGTTCACTCGTCTTGCTTGTTTGGGGCTGAGTCTTCCAATCAAAAAATTGTGAACTCGTGTCTGGCAAACTCTCCATATACTGATACACAGTCATACGCACCTTAGAACTTCATCTGCGAGTGTCTTTTGGTCCATAACTTTCAAAACAACTGCTCCACAGAATGTCACTGATAACCCGTAACGCAAGAGAGTATCGAAGCATGACTGCACAATAAATGTCACAAAATCTACCTAACCGGTCCCCTCGCGATTTTCTGTCTTTACGTCATCCTAACCATTTCGTACTTGCGGGCGCAAACAATAGAAACGTCGTCATTACCTACCGATTCCTCGCTGCCCCTGTTGAAGCAAGTCGAGATTTTTTCAGGCATACTGACTGTATATTCCAAGTGTAAGTACTTTCCTTAATATACGCGCGAGTTACAAGAGTGCCTCCTCGGGATTTCGCCTTCTGGGCGAATTCCCTGTGGGGGCAAAAATTGTTGCATCGCTGCTGCTACCTTTTTGCCATCGGTCTTCATGACGAGCGTCCATCCACCTCCTCCGCATGCTCCAAGCTCAGCAGCTTCCATGTGACAATACACAGGAATTAGTTTAGACTCCACATTCAGTAGGTAGGCTTTGTTTTCACGCTTCCTAGTAAACAGATATTTATATAATGATATATTTTTAAGGCACTGCATGAAATCAAGCAATATTTGTTTTCTCTGCATGTTTTAGTAAGTGACCGTCCTCATATTGCGGGTTTTCAGTGTTACGTCGTTCAAAATAGATTAAAAAAAATCAAAACCTTTCAAAAGATAAAATCCGGAATCTGGGAAATGAAAGGAGGTAAATATGCAAAGACCCTCGCCAAGATTCAGGTCAGAGGAATATTTAATATATGAGATATCGGTAGAAATGTGTTACCCAAATTTATAGAGATTTGTATGGAGACGCCATGCTGGTGCCCATCCGGATGAGCACCATAATGGAGGACGGAAACCAACAGAAACATCTGTTACCGAGTTTTGCTACAAAAGCGTGAATTAAGTAATACTTTTTCTAATACATGAACTATTTAGATGGCAAAATTCCCTGAAATAAGTCATTTTTTTAACCTACAATGACAGCTCTCTCGTCTGTCATGTAAATGGCTCGTCACGCAAAAGCATAGAAATTCAAGCGTACTCTATCACAAAACCAAGAACCCTTTTGAAGCGAAAATTTTTATGAAAATTAGTTTTCAGCTGCTTTAATACATCGTGAAAGTAAAATCTCGGTAGGATCGATAGTTTTGTAGTTTGAATTTTAGTGACGTCATTTGAAAACCAACAATTCAATAAGATGCAATAAACGATTGGATTTAGAGACATAAAAAGAATAAATATAAACAAAGAATATGACAATCTTTCGCACGTTGCGGGCAAAACTGACATGTGGTATAGAGCAATGTCGACCTTACAACAAAGCAAAACTTAATGAACCATTGATGTACCTCGACAGACGCACGGTTACAAAATTAGCACCAGCCGAAAGCAGCGAAGGTTATTTGAATCGGGTGGTGCGGCCTTAAAAGGAATTATATGTACCCGCTCGAAAAGCAGTAAAACGGATAGTTAGACCATTGAAGCCAGCAATGTGATAATTGACAGCGAATGTAAAAGTTTTCAAACGTAATGCAGATGAACCACAAGAGTAATAAGGCCCTCATATGAAATGAAAACCGTAGTTGCTTGAAATAGTACCGCCCTCGGAAAAAAAAATTAAAAAGCGCTCTTGCGAATAAATGCAATTTAATCGGAAGAGCACCGCATTTCCTGGCTAGCAACTCTGCAGCCCTTATTGATTGAAAAACAGCGAAGTCGCCTTATCCACTTTAGAATTAGACAACACTAACCCACATGGGCCCACAGTTATCCGCGGGGGGGGGGGTATTCCCTTATATAAGCCATAT